GTTGCTAATTTTAAGAAAAAAGACATTGAACTGCTAACTCATTTATGTAATCCAAATAATGTAAATCATTATTTTCTTGAGCTCTATAAATAATGAAGTCAGTATATCACGTTTTACTAGCTATGAATTTGATAGATTTGGGCCTAACACTTTTAAGCTTAACACTGTTAATGAAACAGCTGTTCTCAATATAATAAAATCTTTTAAAACAAATGTACAAGATCATGATGGCTTTACTCTGAACATGATATTGGTAACTCTACCCAGATCATTAACAGTTATTACCAGAATTATTAACAAATGTATTGAAAAATGAGTATTCCCAAAGCAATGGAAAGTAGCTTTAGTAAAACCGATTCACAAAAAGCTCCATCGAAATGACTAGAAGGATCTCCGTCTTATAAGTACCCTGTCCTTTCTGTCAAAAATTCTGGAAAGAGTAGTCTCTACACAGATGACGGTGTACCTTGAGGCTAATAATATTCTGTCTAAAATGCAATCCGGATTCAGAAAGTCTTGTAGTACTGCAACCGCTCTGATGAATGTAGTGGATGTTATTCTGACTGCACAAGATGTTGGAGAGGGTACTCTGTTAGCTTTGCTTGACTTCTCCCGAGATTTTGATACCATTAACACCACTCTACTCTTATCAAAATTGGCTTATTACGAATTTGATAATTTAACAATAAAATGGTATGCAAGTTACCTCACTAGTTGTAAACAATTTGTTAAAATAAGTATATACAATAGATCAGAAAGGATATCTACCACGTTGCCAGTTCCAAGAGGTGTACCTCAATGAAGGAGAAGGAGAAAGGAGGATTTTGGGGCCAATACCTTTTATATTGTATAGCTCAGATATAGTGAACACCATAAAAATCTGTAGTTATTACGAGTATATAGGTATATACTGACGACTTTCAATTGTACATGTCTTTTAGACCCAGTGACATCAATATTGCAATAACAAAAATCTGAGAGCTGAACTAGTTAATCACTTTTTTAAAATTTTATTATTGCAATAATAAAATTTTAAAAAGTGATTAACTAGTTCAGTTTTAGTAGTCATATAACTTTGTTTATTGCATGTCACATTACAAATTTAAGATGTTACATTTGATAGGTATACATGTTTTTTTTTTATCATTCTTCCATCATTAAACATTCTTCCATCTCTAGATACGCTAAACTGTAAGCTGTCACCTTCGATTTATACAAAGATACTCTTTAAACTTTAAACGAAAAAATGAAAGTATTTTGTGTAGTTTAAATATGTTTGATTTTGGTTATATAGTAGGAATTATTTTTAGTAATAATGAGAATGCGTAATTTGTAAAACTCGTTACCAAAAGGGAAGTGGGATAACATTTCACAACTAAGTGAATTTACAGCTAATATTAAAAAAACTAATATATTAAGATAATATACTATACTATACTAAGATAATCTTTATATATAAAAATTACCTGTCACATTGTTTGTCCGTGATGAACTCCTAAACTACTTAACTGATTGCAATTAAATTTTGCACACTGTGTGCAGTTTGGTCCAACTTGAGAGATAGGATAGTTTTTATCCCTATAAGTGACACTCAATATTTTTTATTACGAATTTAAAAAAAATTATAGGACACAGGATTGTCGGAGAGGGCAGAACAACGTCTGCCTGGTCAGCTAGTATTATATATATTATATACTAACATATTTATACTTATACTAAGATAGGTACTTTGGATGTTGACCACGCAACACGCAACCGCGCGTGACTCCCACTACCCCAGCCTACGAACTTGGAGTATATAGAATAAGAGAGACGTTTATAGGTTAACTTCTTACACATTGTATAAATGAAATGGTAGAGGTTTACGGTTGTGCTCGCATCACGAAAAAACTACATTATGTAAAAAAATATTGCGATATCCTTATTTAATACTAGCTGTCCCACACAACTCCGCCCGCATGGTTTTTACTATGATTTCTTTATAATTTTTTTACGCAGAACCGTAATTATTTTTCTTAACCGTAATTAAAGTATTCTAAGTTACTCCTTATAGCATCAGCAATCTGCCAGTGAAAGGCCCGTCAATCGGTTCAACCGTTTCGGAGATGAGCTGGAACAAACAGACAGACGAAGAGTGTCTTTTTTATGAGTACCGTACATACTTCCGTATGTATTTAGTAAAAAGCTGGTATTATAACATTACAAACAGACACTTCAATTTTATTTATTTGTATAGATAAAGTTATTAAAGTTTTAAGAACGAAGTCGCAGGTATCAGCTAGTTTGCAAAAAAAAATGATCTGCGTAAACTTGCTACTAATTAGACCACAAAGAAAACCTCGGAAGAGATTTTCTTTGTGTTTCTATACCGCGCATGCGCCAATGCCTTAATTTGACACTTCACAAATTTGGTTTTATTAACTTTTTCCACTTAATATTACATTTTATGTATTTAGAATGGTGGTGGTTATCTTCAAGCAGGGCGCATTTTTTTTCATATTGTTGCGCGCCACTATTAATGTCTTGTACATGGCAACACTAGTTACACTAACGCCCTCTAGTGTCGAGTAGCAGAACTAGGAGAGTCGAGATCCTTCCAGAAATTTCGGGACCGATATGTACTCGAATATTCTAGATGTCGCTACAGTAGAAGGTTCTGGAAACTATCTGAGGCCCTATATAAGGCCGGTATAGACCACGACCGGGGAAGTATTGAATTGGCGATACAAGAGAATACTTCGAAGCGAAATAACTGCGAACTAAAGTGGTTGTGTTTTATTATAGTGTGGTTTTAGATTGTAATTAGTGTTGTGTAATTAAAGTGTCAATTTTGGTAATTCAATCGGCAGTTTTTAATTGTCTCGAACCCCAAGCTCGTAACAATTGGTGTCAGAAGTGGGATTAAATCATGCCGATTTTACCAAAGGACGACATGGAGGGTATCCATACTCGAAGTCAACGCCAGCTGGAGACTGACCAGAGACGATTTGGTAATACAACGCCGCAAATATCGGAGGGCCAGCTGCTGACCACGGAGGCCGGTCAGTCATCAGCTCCTGCATCTACAGCACCTGACTTAGGTGCTCTGATGATGATGCTGCACGAACAGGCTTGCCGACAGGAGGAACAGGCCCGTAGGTTGGAAGAGCAGCTGCAGCGCGGATAGGAGGAACAGGCCCGCCAACAAGAGGAACAGGCCGGCCAACAGGAGGAACAGGCCCGTCGGTTGGAAGAACAGCTGGTCGGAGGCTGAAACCCGAATCGACCAAGTGAACAATCGGGTTGACAACATGATGGTTGACGTGAAGAAAACGCTGAACGACCTCAAAATTGGGGATGTAGTAACAGCTCCCGTGGTAGCTACGACGGGAGTTCTTCCTGGTCGGCCTACAAAATCCAGTTCGAGGCTGTCATGAAAGCGAACGGCTGGAATAAAAGTCAGGCCATGACTGCTCTCACCCTAGGCCTACGCGACCAGGCCTTAACTGTTCTGGAAGCTCTCGGTAAGGAAGTGACTTACGAGCAGCTCCTTGAGGCATTGGAGGCGAGATATAGCGATGCTTACCTGGAACACGTCTTTCGTGCGCAGCTCAAAGATCGCGTGCAACGCAGTAACGAAAACCTGCAGCAGTGGGCCCTTGAGGTGGAGAAGCTGGTTCGAAAAGCGTACCAGTCTGTACCTGCGCTCATTGTAGGGAACCTAGTGCAGACATTCATCGACGGCAACCGCGACCTTGAAGTCAGAGCTGCTGTGAGGCTCGGGAACCACGAGACGCTTAAGGACGCCTTGACCCATGCACTGGAGGTGGAAGCCGTGCGGCAGGATCATCGTTCCCACCGCGTTAGGGAGATTGCAGCAGCTACATTTCAGGACCGCCATAAGGGCTACATACCTAGGTGCTGTGCTACGGCTGTGGGGAAAGGGGCCATCTTCAATCCAGCTGCCCTAAACGAACTGTGGAAAGGGAAGGTGATCGATCTCGAGAGGGTAGTGTGACTGACAGCACCACCCAGCAGCAGCAGGAAAACTGGCGGGTGCTGGCTGATATTAAAAGAGCCCCAAGGATTTCGATCTCACAAACCCGTGATGGAAACAGCCTGATCATCAAGGGCGAGGTCAACGGAAAGCCGTGTAAACTGACCATAGACACTGGAGCCTCTCGCACGGTTGTCAGTTCCCAACTTATAAATCAGTTTCTTGGGGACTCCGCATACAACCGCGAACGCATTAATTTGGTGACAGCCACCGGTCAGCGCATACCCGTCCGTGGAGAAAAGGAGATGGAGTTGAAGCTAGGCAACATGATCTACCTGCATAATGTCATCATGGCTGATATAATGGACGACTGCATCCTGGGCCTAGACTTTATGAGGAAGAATTGTTGTGAGATCGACGTTAAGCGAGGTGTTTTGAAATGTGTTTTGAAATGTGTGAAATGAGAACTTTTCGTGGAAGGGGCGTTACCAGGGAATGTGGACAGCTTTAAGAAGATTGTTCTTCCTCCGAGATCGGAAACGATTGTGCCGGTTAGTCTTCCTCGGAGTCCTGGGCAAGCTCATCGTTGTGTACTCGTGGAAAGGGTAGACAATGACCTTCCATGGAAAGTGGCTCGAACCTTGGTCAGAACCACCGACATCTCAGGAGTACGTGTGTTGAACCTTTGTGATCAGGAAAATATTATAGAAAAAGGCACATTGGTTGGTACTATTGAGAAGTGGATTGGTTGCGTCGGTGCGAATATCTATCGACTGGGACCCCCAGCAAGGATGGACAAACGAGAGTGAACACAATTTTAGAAGACTGTCGCAGCGTTCTCTCCCCGAATGAAATGGTCAAGGCGAAGAAGTTGTTACTCAAGTACGCCAATGTTTTCTCGTCAAACGAAGCTGACATAGGAAAGACTGGGTTAGTTCAACAGAAAATAAACACAGGACAAGAATTGCCTATTTGTCAGCGGCCAAGAAGATTGCCTGTAGCACGTGAAAAGGAAGTGGAAACCATGATTGAGGGAATGGTGAAGGATGGTGTTATTGAACCTTCATCTAGTCCATGGTGTTCACCTGTGGTGCTGGTAAAGAAGAAGGACGGCAGCATGCGGTTTTGTATTGACTACCGCCGCCTGAACGACGTTACGAAGAAGGACAGCTATCCCTTGCCAAGAATTGATGACACGCTAGACATGTTTACAGGCGTAAAGTGGTTTAGTACACTGGACCTGAAAAGTGGCTACTGGCAGGTTGAAATTGACCCTAAGGACAAGGAGAAAATTGCATTCTCCACAGGAAAGGGTCTGTGGCAATTTAAAGTCATGCCGTTTGGATTGTGCAATGCTCCAGCAACGTTTGAAAGGTTGATGGAGCTTGTACTTACCGGGCTAATTGGAGATGCCTGTCTAGTCTATTTCGATGACATCATCATCGTAGGCCGTACGTTTGAGGAACACCTTCAAAACATGGAACGCGTGCTCATGAAGATCCAGAGTGCCAACCTCAAGTTGAGTCAGAAGAAGTGCTGACTATTCAAACGGCAAGTTAGTTTTTTGGGGTATGTAGTGTCGGAAGAAGGTATCCGCACGGATCCAGAGAAAATTGCCGCTGTCAAGGAGTGGCCGGTTCCAAAAGACAAGACACAGGTTAGAGCATTATTGGGTTTGTGCTCTTATTATCGGCGATTTGTGAAGAACTTTGCAGATATAGTCAAACCTCTGCACAGGCTAACCGAGGAGAAGCGACATTTCTGCTGGGATGAAAGTTGCAATATTACATTCCAGGAGCTCAAGAAACGTCTGTGCAACACACCTTTTTTGGGGTTACCCTGATGCGGGCAAGGAATTCATAGTTGACACAGACGCAAGTGATATAGGACTTGGCGGTGTGTTGTCTCAACGGAATGGTGATCAAGAGATTGTGATAGCGTACTTCAGCAAGTCGTTGTCAAAGCCGGAAAGGAACTATTGTGTCACACGACGGGAAAGCTTGCTGTGGTAAAGTCCTTGCAGCATTTTCGCAAATATCTCCTGCGGCGGAAATTCTACTTACTAACTGAACATGCTGCACTGAAATGGCTATTGCAGTTCAAAAAGGACAAGTTGCGAGATGGATTGAACTACTACAGGAATACGACTTTGTGATCGAACATCGCAGCGGGAAATCTCATGGCAATGCAGATGCATTATCAAGAAGACCTTGCCCTGAAGATTGCAAGCATTGTACTAGGCAAGAGGGTAAAGAAGTGGTATCTGCGAGGATATTCAGGACAGACCAGCTCAGCAATGAATGGAAGGACAGCCATGCACAGCAGGAAGATTCGGACATTAAGCCGATTCTGGAATGGATGAAGGCCAGTGCTCCTAAGCCCAAGTGGAGCGACGTCTCAGCAATGAGTTCGACCACGAAAAGCTATTGGGCCCAATGGGACAGCTTGCTGATTCAGGATGGAGTCCTGTGCCGTAAATGGGAAAATGGTCGGGGAGACAGGTGTCATTTGCAAATGGTTGTCCCTAAGGCTAAAGAGCCAGATGTTCTACAGCTGTACCATAGTGGTTGTTCAGGAGGCCACCTGGGAGTTAAACGAACTCTCCTGAAGATCCAAGAACGGTTTTACTGGGTCCACTGTCGTGACGATGTCGAGGACTGGTGCCGCAAATGTACAAGTTGTGCGGCTGTAAAGGGACCTCAAATTCGTAGTAGAGGCGCATTGAAATTGTACAATGTTGATGCACCATGGGAGAGGATAGCCATTGACGTTGCGGGGCCGTTTCCAGAAACTGAAAGTGGTAACAAGTATTTCATGGTTGTGATGGATTACTTCACTAAGTGGCCAGAAGTCTTCGCCATTCCAAATCAAGAAGCTTCAACAGTTGCAGATAAACTAGTTCATGAAGTCTTCTGTCGTTTTGGAGTACCTTTAGAGATTCACAGCGATCAAGGAAGGAATTTTGAGTCTCCAATATTCCAGGAAACTTGCCGAGTTATGGATACTCAGAAAACACGAACAACTTCTTACCACCTACAATCTGATGGAATGGTAGAAAGATTTAATTAGGCATTGGAGAGGTACCTAGCAAAAGTTGTGGAAAAACGGCAACGAGACTGGGACAGGCACATACAACCGTTTTTGTTGTCATATCGAAGCGCTGTTCACGAAAGTACATCAGTGACACCAGCTTTCACAAACTTTGGGAGAGAATTGCGGCTGCCTGCAGACCTGATCACCGGAATACCACCTGATGTCCCACGCAGTATAACCTATTATGCAAATGACTTGCGGAACAAAATGAATGACATTTATAAGCACGTCAGACAGACCGGCCATCAAACGACTCTTCAAGTCGACTTTATGAGAATTATAGCCTTCGCTTTACCAACCTTGACATCTTCAACTCTAGTCTGGTTCACTTCACTTTAGAAATGTTTTGAAAGGCATTCTCAAGGATATCCCCTTTGATTGATATTCACTAAAATTATAGTTCTTAATTTGTTGGATTTATGAGCCTGTTAGATTAAGCAATTTTATTTAAAATGTTTGTTTCGCAATCTTGGCATGCCGTGATAACACGTATAAGGATTATGTCTTGTATTACACTAATATTATTGTAAGTTATAGCTTTAAGTCATGATGTAATCTGTTGTGTTGTCCAATAATAAATAAATAAATAAATAAAACGTCTGAGAAGATGAAAACACGGTATGACCGCAAAATGAACAACAAGGGGTTTGATGAAGGTTCACTAGTGTGGTTACACAATCCAGTTCGCAGCAAAGGGAAATCTCCTAAGCTTCAAGCTAAATGGGACGGACCGTACCGGATTGTGACAAGGATCAATGACGTAACCTACCGGATACAGAAAGGTGCCAGAGGTACTCCTAAGATTGTCCATGTGGATCGACTGGTGCGTTATTATGGGGCCAATAATGCTCGGGACGAGCATGTCTTAGGAGGGGGCAGTGTTGCGCGCCACTATTAATGTCTTGTACATGGCAACACTAGTTACACTAGCGCCCTCTAGTGTCGAGTAAAAGAAAGAGTTGCGCGCCACTATTAATGTCTTGTACATGGCCACACTAGTTACACTAGCGCCCTCTAGTGTCGAGTAGCAGAACTAGGAGAGTCGAGATCCTTCCAGAAATTTCGGGACCGATATGTACTCGAACGGATTCAACTCGGTTGGGCAGCGTTCGGGAAATTACGGCACATCTTCTCGTCAGGTATACCTCAAAACTTGAAAACGAGACTGTACACCCAGTGCGTGTTGCCAGTGATGACATACGGAACTGAGACGTGGTCCTTCACTGCTGGCCGGATGAGGAAGCTCAAGGTCGCTCAGCGAGCTATGGAGAGGGCTATGCTCGGAGTTTCTCTGCGTGATAAACTCAGAAATGAGGATATCCGCAGTAGAACTAGAGTGACCGACATAGCCCAACGGATTAGTAAGCTGAAGTGGCAATGGGCCGGCCATATAGCTCGAAGAACCGACAACCGATGGGGAAGAAAGGTTCTCGAGTGGCAGCCTCGTACCGGCAGGCGAAGTGTAGGGCGTCCCCCCACTAGATGGAGTGACGACCTGGTAAGATATGCAGGAAGTCGATGGATGCAGGTGGCTCAGGACCGTGCTTTGTGGCATTCTTTGGGGGAGGCCTATGTTCAGCAGTGGACTTGTGAAGGGCTGTAATGATGATGATGATGTACTCGAACATTCTAGATGTCGCTACAGTAGAAGGTTCTGGAAACTATCTGAGGCCCTATATAAGGCCGGTATAGACCACGACCGGGGTAGTATTGAATTGGCGATACAAGAGAATACTTCGAAGCGAAATAACTGCGAACTAAAGTGATTGTGTTTTATTATTAGTGTGGTTTTAGATTGTAATTAGTGTTGTGTAATTAAAGTGTCAATTTTGGTAATTCAATCGGCAGTTTTTAATTGTCTCGAACCCCAAGCTCGTAACAATATTGTTAAAAGTATCCAATTCTAATTATTTGACGTTATATCGACGTTATAAGATGAGCGATCTTTACCCTTTTTTTTTATTAATAAATTACTTAGAAGCAGCTTAAATAATTAATATTTTGAGATGTGCTATTTGAAATACGTCTCTCAGTATTTTTTTATATATACTCCAAATTCGTAGGCTGGAGTAGGGAGGTGATGCATTCGACACTTAACAAATTTGGTTTTATTAACTATTTACACTTAATATTGGATTTTATGCATTTTTAACGATAGTGCAATTATATTCATGTAAGGTGCAGTTTTTTCACATTATAAAAAGTATCCATTTCTAATTACTTGAAGCAAAATCGACGTTATAAATTGAGCGATCTTTAACAATTTTTTATTTTTAAATTACGTGGGTGCAGTTCGCAAATCCAAATTCGTAGGCTGGGATTTCTATTTTACTTGATTTTTGTTTAAAAGTTAACGATGATTGCGGTGCAGCTAGCTGTAAACCTTTTGAAAATGTCTCAAAATTTGGGTTCTATGTTTTGCATTAACTATCGCGGTTGCAATTTCTTGTTATCTATTGAAATGTTAGCAAGTGTGATGATGATTTGATTCACATTGCAACGAAATAACGCATCATTTGTTACATTTAATCCATTAACTAAAATGTATGCTTATTTAATATCCAAATGTAAGATTTAAATATGTCGGAACCATCTGAAGAAAACGAAAAAATATTTAATAATTTATATATAAAAAAAACATTACAAAGCATAGCAATTATTTTTAAGGGATTACCAAGTAAATAAGGTGATCTAAAAGGTTTTTGGATTTGGTAACACTGGTTTGTGATGTTGATTTTGTTGATTTGGGGTATGGAGGGTAATTTGTGGTGGGTTTCCGTACAGGACAATTACTATTCTCTTTAGAACAGGCTTACAAAATAATATACTTTGTTGCCGTGACCACACACATCACGCTAGCGCGAATATTCGCGTTATCGCAATGTATGTGGCCGACCCTTCGTGAATACTTCGTCACTTCGTGCGAAGTTTCAAGCATTTCGCTTCGCTGTCGGTAAATTCTCGCACTTCAAGGGGTTTTATAGCGATGAACTTCGTGTGTGCGGCCACACTTCAGTCTGCCTACAGACATTGTGCGTAGCGAATGTATCAAAGTTAATTAGGGTTTGTGACGTGGCGTCCATTTTGATTGTAGCATGTCTTTAGTGCGATAAAATTGTGCAGTAAAAGTGTGACCGGGCACCTTCGGCCTAGGCCGAAGACGAAGTTTTATCGCGATGTGTTTGGCCGAGGCATGTCAGTATGGGAGTTAAGATGCGTAAGCACCATAATAATCTGTGAAGTTAGGGGGCATTTCTAAAATTTATCATGGGATATGGATATTTCGTTTGACGCACACACTACTATGGCACATGAGTAAATAAAAGGAACAGAGGTAAAGCTTCATACAACTGCGTGAATGGGTACTACTACAAGCATGCGGGGCATGTGCACCACTGGCCGCTTGTCGCGTACGCGGCGAAACTTTAAAAAACCGGTTACGCTGGCACAGTCAGTGGACAACAATTTTAGAGTCAGCGCGACACACATTGTTAATTTTGTTAGTTGCAAGTTTGAATAGTTTAATGTAAAAACGTGGAATTATTAGTAATGTTTGTTTATTGTACTGTGTGAAAGAATAAAAAAAATCATACTTTAACTATCCCAAGGAGTAGTAAGTACCTTAGTTTTATTGTATGATTCTTTTTTTTTAATAAGAAGTGAGTACCAGACGGTGCGTTTTTACCTTTTTAATGTTATTACAAGCTTTTAGTAAACATTTGTATGTATGTGGGTGGGTTGGTATGAAATTGGTATGTGGGTTTAGTTCACATATTGCAAGTAAGATTTGAACCACTTCCCGATGTGTGATTGAGTTGAAATTTTGTATACCGTAAGTGACAATGCAATAATATGATAAATATTATTTTGTTTGTCTTCACCTATTGTAATTAATAGAATCAGGCGTTACTTTGCGGAAATCCATTATATAAAAGCTTTTACAAAAATTTACTTCGCAAATATCCGCGTTATAAAATAAAATGATGTGTCTTACCTAGTATGAAGAAGCACCTCCCGCCCTCCCTCAATTGCGTGCACTATCCCCGTCACCACTAATCCCAGCACCGCTACTTCCAACACCACTTTACTTAGCGGTTAGCCACCGTAGAGTCTATATCACCTGAGGATGCCTCGTGTAGAGGCGAAACACGTGTCGTATTATCGTCAGTGGTGTGTCTTGCCTAGTGTAGTGGTGTTGGAAGTAGCGGTGCTGGGATTAGTGGTGACGGGGATAGTGCACGCAATTGAGGGAGGGCGGGAGGTGCTTCTTCATACTAGGTAAGACACATCATTTTATTTTATAACGCGGATATTTGCGAAGTAAATTTTTGTAAAAAGCTTTCACCTATTGTGACAACCCTACAAAAATAATTTACAGTTTTGCACGTTTGTATGTGATTATGGTGCTTGATGGTAAGACGGGGTTTTGGCGGGAACTTGACCGGCGGCGGTTTGCTGTTCATTTATTCTTGCTTAAATAATGGTTTTAATTGGATTTTAAAACGTAAAAGTGGTGCGACTTTGTATATTAAGTGTTTGTGCATGTGAACTATTAGTGCAAACAATGAAACAAGTGCTCTGATGGTGACGTAATTCTCAATATAAGGTATCTGTCTACTTAGGCGCCTTGAGATACCATCGCCAACTGTCAGCTGTCTGCTGGCTCAACCGTTACCGTCAAAATATACCAAGTGCTGCACAATGTGATGCATTAACATATTATTGTGATACTATGAAGAAAAATTATACATTGTAATTTCAAGCTCAAAAAGGCTAGAACACAGGGCCATAAAGCCAGTTATAAAAAAATGGTTAGACGTTATTGAAAGTGTCTCTCAAATGTCCACCGGAGTTTCCTGTATAGGACAGTTACTATCCTGGTATATAGTGTATTATCTATGGTTACTATACTCTTTGATCGGAGTTTTGGTGGGAACATATATATTTATCTATGGTGGGAACTTATCGGCGGCGGT